TGGTAACAAAAAAGAGAATATCAAAACAGTACTTACTATCCTGGTCTGTTCTAACAACAATAGCAGGGCTACTGTCTGGTCCATCGCCTTTCGAAGTCGACGCACGTATTGTGATGTTGTAATTGACATACTTTCTAAGATCTGTTAATTCCTTTTGACGGTTATCGGGGCCAGCCTGAGCACTTCCGTTGTGACCCTCTGTTTGTGAGCGGTAAAAAATGGTGTAATTCGTGATGATACCATTCTGTTCAAAAGCTGGAACATCATCCCACTCTACTAAGATGCTGGTTGAGCTTGTGTTACGTCCTCTAACATTTGAAGGAGCAGCAGTAGGTTCTGAAAAAAAAAAGTAAAGTTCACGGAAAAGGCCTTAAAATATATCTGAAGTTACACGCACTACAACAAAGTTATTGTACCGAAGGATGAACGGGACTCGCACGGGAGCCTTTATTCTTGACTATCAAGTCGCTAATCCTATCCTTATTTTGAGTAAAAAAAAAAAAAAAAAAAGCGCTGAATGCAGAAAAGCTGGTAGTTGTACACATAAAAACTGGGACAAAAGAAAGGCGCGTGTTGGCAGGACACAACGGTTCCTTTTCCTCTAAAAGATAAAGCTTTGGGTAAATATGAAGGGTCGCAACCTTTCCATAACAAAAGGAATAACTATAAAGTTAGGGCTCAGTTACACCACCCTAGAATCTGAATATGTTTGAAATAACACTTACTATCCTGGTCAGTTATCACAAAAATAGGATCACTACGATTTCCATTTCCTTTCACCGTAGATGCAAACAGAGTGATGCTGTAGTTCACAAACTTCTTTAAGACTGTCAATTCGAATTGTGTTTTTGAATAATCCACTGTTTCACTGCCATGGTCAGTCTGTGTCAGGGATTGATAGCTAATGGTGTAAGTCAAGATGACACCATTCTGATCAGCTGGTGGAACCTCTCCCCACTCTACTAAGATGCTGGTTGAGCTGGTCTTACGTCCTCCTATGTTAGAAGGAGGAGCTGAGGGCTCTGAAATGAAAGAGCACTGTTTGTAAATAACATATTTAAACAAATGAATTAGTTACTAACTGGATATTACACAGTCTAAAAGCGACCAACTTCGAGCTTACAGAGTAAAACATGAAAACAGTACTGTTCTAAAGCGCGATGGGTAATGTTAGATAAAATAATAATTAACGTGAATTTATTTTAATGTGAACTTCTTAATTTGAACTATTTAAATGTTCCAAATTTAGACGCAGAAAAAGAGTTTTTTTTTTTAAAGAAACGGAATTTCTCATGGTCACCAGCCACATTAACAATTTCCTTTGATGGGCGGTATTACGATCCAATCTGAAAAATGTTTCCATCTTTAAAATAGCTTCACTGAAAGGTGAACACAAACATCAGTCTTAAACCTTTGATTCCTAGACTAGCATCTTTTTTCTTCAAACAACATCACCCCCACAAGTGACACATTGGGGTCACAAAAATAAAGGAGTTGACTCTCGACCATAGAAGCTCTTGATTGTTAAACAAATTCTTCTTGTCAGTATCTTAGGAAATATATAAAGAACAGAACAGTAAGGAGAATACAATTACTGATGATTGAGTGTAAAGAGTTTAAAGTGGATAAGAGAATCTATCAAAGAACAGTACTTACTATCCTGGTCTGTTCTAACAACAATTGGGCTACTGTTTGGTCCATCGCCTTTCGAAGTCGACGCAAGTATTCTGATGTCGTAAATGACGTACTCTCTAAGACCTGTTAATTCATTTTGACGGTCAGTGGGACCAGTTGAAGCAAATCCATTGTGACCCTCAGTTCGTGAGCTGTAAGTTATGTTATAACCCGTGATAATACCATTCTGATCAAAAGCTGAAACATCATCCCACTTGACTAAGATACTGGTTGAGCTGGTGTTATGTCCTGTCACATTTAAAGGTGCAGCAGTAGGTTCTGAAAGGAAAGTTAACGAAATAGCCCTTAGAATATCTCAGGAGTCATTGAAGTACAACAAAAGAGTTGAAGCGCAGGATAAACGGTACTAGGATGCGAGTTTATTCCTGAATATTCATCTCTCAGTTAAGGCGTTCTTCCGTCATGATTACATGAGGTAGAGAGCTGTGTTTGCGACCAGCATGTTGCGACTCTGAACTATCCCATTACAGGCCATTGTGATTATCGCTCAAGCAGGGGCGTTTCTTCACCAGCGTATAAGTTTGAGACTTTGAGCAACGCTTACAGGCGAGAGGTCTTAATTAGCTCGTAATAAGTGCCAGATCCTTTGTGTCGGCTTCCTTTACTAGCTTGCTCGCAGGCGAAAAACCACCCTTGCTGCGGTACTGATGGGAAAGGCCAGCTCGCAGGCTACACTTAGTAACAGTTTTAGACCAACAGCTTCTTCCCGGCGTTTGTAGAAGAAGTACCGTAGTTGCGACCTGACGCTCATTTTAAGAGGGTTTGGGTGTTTCCCTCTTTAAATAAAGGTTTGGGTGATTCGCACCCTTGCCATAACAAAAGGGGATTCAGTTAAACCCTTCTAGGATCTGAATATGACTGAACTATGTGATCAAAGAAAGAAAAATGCCACTTACTATCCTGGTCAGTGGTAACAAAAATAGGATCACTATGATCTCCATTTCCTTTCACCGTAGATGCAAACAGAGTGATGCTGTAGTTAACGAACTTCTTTAAGCCTGTCAGTTCTACTTGTTTCTTTGAATAATTCACTATTTTATTGTCATTGTCATTCTGTGTCAGTGATTGATAACTAATAGTGTAAGTTAAGATGACACCATTCTGATCAGCTGATGGAACCTCTCCCCACTCTACTAAGATGCTAGTTGAGCTGGTGTTACGTCCTCGTATATGAGAAGGGGCAGCAAAGGGCTCTACAATGAAAGAGTATTGTTTGTATATACCACATTTAAATAAATAAATGAATTACTTAATGGAGATCAGACGGTCCAAAAGCGACCAAATTCGAGCTTACAAAAAGAAACATGAAAACATCACTTTTTGAAAGCGACATGAGTAAGAGAATATCAAAACAGTACTTACTATCCTGGTCTGTTCTAACAACAATTGGGCTACTGTTTGGTCCATCGCCTTTCGAAGTCGACGCAAGTATTCTGATGTCGTAAATGACGTACTCTCTAAGACCTGTTAATTCATTTTGACGGTCAGTGGGACCAGTTGAAGCAAATCCATTGTGACCCTCAGTTCGTGAGCTGTAAGTTATGTTATAACCCGTGATAATACCATTCTGATCAAAAGCTGAAACATCATCCCACTTGACTAAGATACTGGTTGAGCTGGTGTTATGTCCTGTCACATTTAAAGGTGCAGCAGTAGGTTCTGAAAGGAAAGTTAACGAAATAGCCCTTAGAATATCTCAGGAGTCATTGAAGTACAACAAAAGAGTTGAAGCGCAGGATAAACGGTACTAGGATGCGAGTTTATTCCTGAATATTCATCTCTCAGTTAAGGCGTTCTTCCGTCATGATTACATGAGGTAGAGAGCTGTGTTTGCGACCAGCATGTTGCGACTCTGAACTATCCCATTACAACAGGCCATTGTGATTATCGCTCAAGCAGGGGCGTTTCTTTTCCAGCGTATAAGTTTGAGACTTTGAGCAACGCTTATAGGCGAGAGGTCTTAATTAGCTCGTAATAAGTGCCAGATCCTTTGTGTCGGCTTCCTTTACTAGCTTGCTCGCAGGCGAAAAACCACCCTTGCTGCGGTACTGATGGGAAAGGCCAGCTCGCAGGCTACACTTAGTAACAGTTTTAGACCAACAGCTTCTTCCCGGCGTTTGTAGAAGAAGTACCGTAGTTGCGACCTGACGCTCATTTTAAGAGGGTTTGGGTGTTTCCCTCTTTAAATAAAGGTTTGGGTGATTCGCACCCTTGCCATAACAAAAGGGGATTCAGTTAAACCCTTCTAGGATCTGAATATGACTGAACTATGTGATCAAAGAAAGAAAAATGCCACTTACTATCCTGGTCAGTGGTAACAAAAATAGGATCACTAGGATATCCATTTCCTTTCACCGTAGATGCAAACAGAGTGATGCTGTAGTTAACGAACTTCTTTAAGCCTGTCAGTTCTACTTGTTTCTTTGAATAATTCACTATTTTATTGTCATTGTCATTCTGTGTCAGTGATTGATAACTAATAGTGTAAGTTAAGATGACACCATTCTGATCAGCTGATGGAACCTCTCCCCACTCTACCAAGATGCTAGTTGAGCTGGTGTTACGTCCTCGTATATTGGAAGGGGCAGCAAAGGGCTCTACAATGAAAGAGTATTGTTTGTATATACCACATTTAAATAAATAAATGAATTACTTAATGGAGATCAGACGGTCCAAAAGCGACCAAATTCGAGCTTACAAAAAGAAACATGAAAACACCACTTTTAGAAAGCGGGATGAGTAATTTAAGAGAAGATTACAGGATTTTAAGTCTTCAAATTCAGACTAAGGTCAAGAGTTAAAAAAAAAAGAAAAAAAGAAATTTCTCCTGGCTAGCAGCTAATTACACTAACACTGACACCCTCGAATCACCAACGAGAAAAGTTATTGATTGTTTGACAAAATCTCTTTGTCAGCACCTTGGGAAAAGTATTGGTAACAAAAAAGAGAATATCAAAACAGTACTTACTATCCTGGTCTGTTCTAACAACAATTGGGATACTTTCTGGTCCACCACCTTTCGAAGTCGACGCAAGTACTGTGATATTGTAATCGACGTACTCTCTAAGACCTGTTAATTCCTTTTGAATATCATTGGCGCTAGCTATAGCACTTCCAGCGTGACCCTCTGTTTGTGATCGGTAAGTAATGATGTAACCTGTGACAGTACCATTCTGATCAAATGCTGGAACTTTACCCCACTCTACCAAGATGCTGGTTGAGCTGGTGTTATGTCCTCTCACATTTAAAGGAGCAGCAGAAGGTTCTTAGAGGAAAGTTCAAGAAACAGGCGTTCAATTATTTCAGAAGAAATTAAAAATAATAATAATAACAATAACAAACTGTTGTGAAAGCATTAGAAGACTACACTTCCTGAAAATGGCTTCTTTGTCTTTCATTTTTTTGCAACTTGGTTGGTTACTTTTAACGCGCCTTTAAATCTGATTGTTTTTTAGTTTGTTTTTTTGTAGTGTTGCTTTTTCATTAGCCAGGGAAAAGATGCAATTTAGAGCAAAAGGTAGCC